GTGATCCTTCATTTGGGTTTATTTTCTTGTTTGGGGAATCACGGCTTGCTATGCCAGTGAGCAATTGAGTCAGGTGATCTCAGGTTCCTGTGCGTGTACAAATGAACTGATGTCTGCATGGATATGTTCTGCTGTCCAGCATGTTGAGAGTGACACACACACAAGCAATCCTGAACCATGCAGGTCATAACCTCAGACTGGTAGTGAGCTGGTGAAAAAGGAGTATTTAAGAAAGCATATAATTACAGGAAAATTAAAGTTACAGTTTTTGGAGGGAATAGCCAAATCGGAGCTAATGAAACGGAGTCAATTAGACATACATGGTTGGATGGTCTCTACACTATGCTGTTTAAGACCCTCTATCAAGACTTTCCAGGGCTTGGCATTTATACCTGGGAAGATGAAGAGTTCTGATTTTAGGCTGAAATAATCCTGGGAAATGTAGTTTAGCAAGGGACTACAATCATTTTAATTAGATGAATTGCAGTATTAAGTCTGTTCTATTACCCTGAGCTACATTCCTTCTGCCTTTGAAGAACATAATTAGGGCACTGATAAACATTTAGCACCAGATTTTCAAAAGGCTAGAATGGTGGGAGTTGGCAGGTATGGAGCACTTTTGAAAGTCTGGCCACGTCACTAAAGCACCCAAAGGGGATCTGAGCTCTTGAAAATGTGGCAACTAGGGATCAATTCTGCTACAGCACACACTTTTAGTATCTTATTAGTAAAGTTTCCCACTGAAATCAGGGGGACAACTCATGGAATGAAAGTTCTGCTTGGTGAATGCAAAGGAGAGAGGAAGCCAGCCCTTAATGCACAGAATGTGCCTTTTCTAGTTTGGAGTTTATTTATTGTTCCAAGGCAGCACAATCTACGTAGAATAAAAAAATAAATAAAAATAAAAAAACACAACCAAATTTGGGCTAGGCCAGGAGCTAAGTAAATTCAAATCTTAGCAGCACAATTATTTATATGACTTACCAGCAATACTTATCCCATCCAAAAAAGAAGTTTCAAGTAGGCAATCTTTGATTTCATTTTGTATGAAATTTTCTCCAAAGGACCTATGGAATATGGAAGTAAAGATTTCAAAAGCAAGTGCAACCTGTAGTGATCCCTCTCCCTTCCTCCCCCCCTCGCTCAACCTTGTATCCAATATGGACAAAGTAAATCACTTCATGTTAATTTGCTGCTGAAAGAATCCCTTTTGCAGATAGAGGTCTGGCAGCACATGTACTCACGCAATATAAAAGTGGCCAAGGACAGTCAGTCATTTACTGTTTGCCAAAGCTGCTATCATCAGTGAGACTGCCTTTGAAGGAAGTAGGAGCTGGACGTAGACTCGGGCTGAGATACAGTGCTTGCCATGAGGTGTAGGACAAGAGAGAGTGGATAAGGAAAACTACAAAAATATAGTTGTTTCAGACATGCTGTAGTTAAAGTAATTTAAGAAAAAGCATTGTAACAGGGTTTACTCACCACTTCCTCAGGTGGTGGCCAGGCATGGCATCACAGTGTCCTTGGGGGATAGCAGCCCTTGTCAACAGTCACTCTGGGGCTGTGGTGGTTTCTTTCAGATAGATAACTCATCCCTCCAGCCAGGGCACAGTCTTTAGCCCGTTCCTTCCAGGGTCAGCCATCCAAACTAAAGTTCAAAACTATCTTAAACGAAATAAAAAGCTTCCAGCCTCTCCACAGCTCTTCTTCAGCAAGGTCACATTCAGACTGCAGCCCCCTCACTGGGCTCAGCTACCATTGTACACCACTTCCTTGGGGCTGGTGGTTAGGTTGGCATAACTACGTCGACTCTAGGGTTACCAGATGTCCCGATTTTATAGGGACAGTCCCGATTTTTGGGTCTTTTTCTTATACAGGCTCCTATTTCCCCCCCACCATCTCTCCCGATTTTTCACATTTGCTGTCTGGTCACCCTATTCGACTCTCAGGGGTGTGGATTTTTCACACCTCTTAGAGACGTAGCTATGCCAATGTAAGTTTTCGGTATAAATCAGCTTCCTCCCTCCTCCCATGAGTCTGGCTGCTGGTTCAGTAGCAGTATATGGTCCAGCAAAGATGAACTCAGGTTCTGGTGAAGTCTCAGGGCTCAATTCATAGAATCATAGAATCATAGAATATCAGAGTTGGAAGGGACCTCAAGAGGTCATCTAGTCCAAACCCCTGCTCAAAGCAGGACCAATTCCCAGCTGTGTCAATCACCCTACTGTGATTGACACACAGTTCTAGCCCAACAATGTGGAGGAAAGCCACCTCAGCATCATCATCCCCCTTTCTCAGAATTTCAGTAGTGTGCTGCAGTTTGTGGATTTAGAATTCAGCAAAATAGAACTGCACAATTCTGTAATACTGGTATTTTAATATAAAAAAACAAGGACATTTAAATGTATTTATGAAGGGATCTTGCATTTACATCTTAAAATTAAAAATCAAAGAGACAGGAAATAAAAGGTTTAGGTTCTGATATTAATATTCTGATAATAATTCTGATATTAATTTGGTCAAATTACCAGTATGTGGTGTTCTGGATTATTAGCTATGTTATTGAATATAGCCCATGATAACACACACTATGTATTACACATCGTATGTGCAAAGTAAGCATATTAAACTCTATAGCAATGTGTTAGAACCCTTTACTAATCAAAGCATGTGCAATGTCCTGGAGCAATTTGATCTCTCACAGCTAGCTGGGGAGTGGGTTTGTGTTTGCAATTCTATTGGAGGAGGTGGGTTCTATTGCTGACACGTTCTACTGGGAAAGAAGAAGTTCTATTAGGTGCAGGTTCTATAGAGTGGATTGTATGGGGCAGGTTCTTTTGGGAAAGGAAGGTTTCTATTGGGTACAAGTTCTATGAAGAGAGGGGGTTGTTTAGTGGGGTGACTTCTGTGGGAGGAGATGGGATTTCTATGACTGGGTTCTATCAGATGAGAGAGGAGTCCCCTGGGACAGGTTGCATAGGGTATGTTCTATGGGTGAAAAGGAACCGCCCCCAGGACTCCCCTTCCCCCCCATAGAACCTGATCCTTCCCCATGGAGCCCCACCTGTAGCACTCCCCTCTCTCCCATGGAACCCACCCCCAGGACTCCCCCTGGGAAGTGCTATGGGGTGGGTTCCATGGTGGAGGATCAGGTTCTATTGGAGAGAGGGTAGTCCTAATGGGCAGGCTCCAGGGGGCAAAGGCAAACTCTGTGGTGGGAGAGAGGAGCGCTGCAGCGCAAGGGGCAGGTTCTGTGGGGGAAGAGGGGAGTGCTGTGGGGTGGGTGGCAGGGGAGGTTCTGTCATGGGAGAGAGGAGTGCTGCGGGTCAAGGAGTAGGGATAGGCTTTGTGGAGGGGAGAAGGGAGCACTGTGGGGCAAAGGGCAGGTTCTGTGGGGAAGAGGGGAGTGCTGTGGCATGGGTGGCAGGGGCAGGCTCTGTGGTGGGAGCGCTGTGGAGCAAGGGGTAGGTTCTGTGTGGGGAAGAGGGGAATGCTGCGGGGTGGCTGGCAGGGGCAGGCTCTGTGAGGAGAGAGGGGAGCACTAGGGAACAGGCTCTATGTGGGAAGAGGGCAGCGCTGCGGGGGCGGGTTCCTGAGACGAGAGCAGGCTCTGGGGGAGAGCGGAGCGCTAGGGACAGGTTCTGTTGGGGGAAGAGGGGAGCGCTGCCTACGGGGCAGGTGCCCGAGGTCAGGGACAGGCTCTGTGGGGAGAGGGGAGCAGGTTCTGTAGGGACCGGGGAGCATTGGGAGGCAGGCTCTGGGGGAAAGGGGAGCGCTGCGGGGCGGGTTCCCGAGAGCAGGCTCTGGGGGAGAGGGGAGCGCTAAGGTGGGGAAACGGTCTATTGGGGCAGCGCTCTTCTCTCCACCCTCTCCCCTCTTCCGGAGCGCTGCGGAGCAGGTTGCAGGGAGAAGGGGAGGCTGTGGGGGTGGAGAGAGAAGCGCTGCGGGGCAGGTGCCCGAGGTCAGGGACAGGCTCTGTGGGGAGAGGGG